TTAAGTATAGGTATACACGAAATGTGTATAATGTGTTAGTCTCCAACAGCGTACCACTCGCATTATCTTATGCCATAATAATAATTTGTCTGAAAGTTTAAAACTACATTTAATTTTTGCATTCAAACGACCCGTCGAGCCAGGGCGATCTATTGTTGTGTCTGCCCTCACTTTTTTCGGTCCTACAGAGATGGCGGTGATGAAAGATTTTTACTTTTCGCGCGATATCTCTGCCTCGGTATTCATTCGGGACTCATCAGGGACTCATCAGGGACTCATCTGTACACCTCGTGTGGTGAACTCCATCGTAATAATATATTATATAGTGTACCAAAAAATATGACAAAAAATAATTGATTCTTTACTTAAACGTATGACACAATAATTTGTGAAATATACTCAATATTTAAAAATAATATTTAGAAAAATGTATTACGTTTTAAATATTAATTTACTGTAAAAAAATATTAATATTTTAAAATATCTAAAAAAAAATAAACTATACTTGACTTGGATAAATGTTTTTATAATCAGATTTAGAAATGGGCTATTTTGAAATTTTTATATTTTCTGTTTCAAGAAATAAAAATGAAAAAATGTTTATTATAAATCGCAAGTGTTTATAAATTCTACGAAAGGAAAATGTTTTAAAATATTGTTTCAAATTTTGTTAAATATGGAATTTCGTCATCATATGAAAATGTCACTTGTATTATTAAAGTTATTATTGATTGCCGAGGACGACTGCCGTCCGCGTAGTGACTTTAATCCTCGTGGGGGCCGGTGTTGTTGTACACCGCAGGACGTTCATCGGGCACGAATGAGGAGGTCCTTCTGCAGCAGCAGAGGTCTTGAAGGAAAACCGTTGGGGACCGGCCGATTTCGGTATAGCCGCGGTACAGGAAATAGGTAGGTAGGTAACACGGAAGCTCTGTCGTGTGGTAACCTATACCTGCAGTATAACATCACATAACGTTGAGCGGTTGCAACCTTGACGCGGACAGCAGCACCGGGCAGCGCACATAATAATAATAATATAGTGCTATTGGTGTGATTTGTTACTGTCACTGTGTCGCCGAGACGTATCAAGATCTCCTCCGGGGCTACCGGTGTATAAGTACGCGTCCACTTGACGTGTATGCCTTTGTGCGTGTGCATTGTCCATTGTGTGTCCTTTTTTTTTTTAATCCGCGACACACAGACACATTATACGCGTGCGCGCCACAGCAACCGCACCGCGTATATATATATAATATAATACATATGACAATAATGTGATATTGTTATTAAACGTAGGTATATATATATATATACTGTCCATGAATGGGTTTCGGTACACATAATAATATGTATATAATATAAACCCACGCGACGCCCGAGACCGCCCGGCGCGCTAGACTCGGGACAATTACACCCCCAACCAGTGACCAGGTATCCTTTTTATTTATATTTTATTATTATTATTATTATTTTTTTTTTAATCCGGATTACATTGCCGCGATGTGCTATATAGTATATTATAATATTATATATATTATATTACGTGCTCTTATCGGCAGACCGGATCATCTATCTTCGTCCACCGACCTGTCCATTGTTGCATTTTTTTAAAAATTTTTTTTTTTACCGAACCCACCGCCGCCGCCGCATCGTCCACCGTTTTTGTGTTTATAATATTGATATAATATTATTACAATAAACCCCTTTATAATATATACCTACTCCGGATATAGCAATCACGCTGCTGCGTCGAGTATAGTCGTACACATACATATGACGCGTCCTGCTATGTCCTATATAGGGAGGTAAATTTATAATGTAAAAGTGCACCTACCTATATATAAATATACATGCTTGTAGGTATACGACGTTTTAAGGTCGTATGATAAATAGTTTTTTTTTTTTTTTTGTGATTTTTTGTCACATTTAGCGATTACGGAAGAAAGTATAATAAGGTACTTATATATTATTATTATCTTATATGATGGGTCTATACGACTCTACGGTGCATAGAATGTAATATATTGTTCGATTCATCGGTCGTTCTAAGGCGGCAAGTACTTATGTGTATAGGTACGAAGGAATACGTGCGCCAAACGTCACGGTTTCATTTTAGCGGTTCTTCCTGGACGGAGAATACGAAATTTGCATAAAGCAATAAACTTATAGCTCTACCGGTGTATAATAATAATTCCAACTGTATAAAAAAAAAATGTAATCTTACTCACAGCGATATTATAATATTACATATTGCGTAAAGTAACGAATGTTATTAAATTGTATTACGTGTGTATACAAAAAGTACATATTTTATTATTTTAATATTAGGTATACCGATGGCTAGTACTATAATATAACCATTTTTTTTTTATTAATACAATCAATACAATCGACATAATGTTGTTATTATATATACCGTTATGCCAATCGCTGAAATATTTACAACTAAGCTTGATAATTCGCAAAAGTTTATAATCGAAATTATCGTCTGATTGATCAATAATTATATTACTAATTAACTTTTTGAAAAATACACTCTCGTAACTTTTAAATCAAATGAATCAGCTATAATGATATAAAACACGTAGGTACTACAGTACTATATCTAATGTACAGAAAAAAATACTGTGTTTTAAGAAACTGACCTATAACAATCATATCAAAACATAATATATATAATGAGGTTTGCTTAAAGATAATATAAAATACAGCTGATTATATTATATTTTAGTCATAATTCATGTGAAACAGATATAAATTATTTAATAATAAGCAATACACATGTCGAACTTAAAATCATATGATGTTATGTAAGTATAAATTACGTAAATATACATACAATATATACAAACAACAATTATAACTAAATCGTGATTTGAAATTTCGGAACAGTTGAGGCTTCAAATTACATATGTAGATACTGTTATCATCGTCGTACGTCATCCATATCAACAGGTTATATTTGAGATTGTTGAAACTTTGAAAGAATATTAACTATGAATATAATTAAATATTATAAACTTAATGAAATGTTAAATTATTATACTTAACTATTATTATTATAGTGTCTTCCCATAACACATAAACAAAAACATTGCAATCACATTTGGAAACATATCAGTAGTATGATTTGGGGGGTTCAGACCGCTGACACTTCACACACTTCACACACTTCACACATTTCACACACTTCACACACACACACACACACACACACACACACACACACACACACACACACACACACACACACACACACACACACACACACACACACACGATTATCGGTCACGTGCGCGACGTATATTTTGGCCTTATCAGTAACCACTCCTTATCAGTAACCATTTCTTATCAGTAACCACTCCTTATCAGTAACCACTACTTACCACTGATAACAGTTATCGGCCACGTGCGCGAAGTAAATATGTTGGCCTTATCAGTAACCTAATCAGTAACCACTTCTTACCACTGATAACGATTATTGGGCACGTGCGTGACGTATACCTAATAGTGATAACGATTATCAACAACCGTCAAATTATCAGCAGCTGTCACCGCCACCAGAAATATCTACAACATAACGTAATTGTAACTACAGTGTAGATTATTACGATTTTGTTAAAATTCACGAAATAAAAGTAAATCGCAAAATATCAGAAATATCTACAACATAACGTAATTGTAACTGTAGTGTAGATTATTACGATTTTGTTAAAATTCACGAAATAAACGTAAATCGTTAAATATCAAAAATATATACCGTATACCACTATTGTTACTACGGTGTAGGTATTTTTAAAAATGTCAAAAATGTTGAAATTCACGAAATAAACGTATATTGTTAAATATCAAAAATATATACCGTATACCACTATTGTTACTACGGTGTAGGTATTTTTAAAAATGTCAAAAATGTTGAAATTCACGAAATAAACGTAAATCGAAAAATATCAGAAATATCTACAACATAACGTAATTATTAGTACAGTGTAGATTATTACGATTTTGTCGAAATTCACGAAATAAACGTATATTGTTAAATATCAGAAATATATACCGTATACCACTATTGTTACTACGGTGTAGGTTTTTTTAAAAATGTCGAAATTCACTAAATAAACGTATATTATTGAATATGAGAAATATCTACAACATGTTTTGCCGTAGTTTTAAAATTGTTTATAATGTACCATAATGATAGCATGCGTTGGTAACGTTGAGTGTGAAATTAAAATATATGACGCATATCTTTATTTTAGTATGTTGTAGATTTATTAAAATAGCCGAAAATCACGAAATAAACGTATATTGTTATAAATCAAAAATATATACTGTATATCACTATTTGATGTATGGTGTAGGTTTTTTTTGAAACGTTCAAATTCACTAAATAAACCTATATTATTGAATATGAGAAATATCTACAACATGTTTTGCCGTAGTTTTAAAATTGTTTATAATTGAGTTTATTTCTTGCACAAAATTATGTACACATTATGCTTATAATCAATGTACCATAATAATAATAATAGCGTGCGTAGGTATTTATTTGAACGTGAAATATACCCGTATTTGTGTATAAAACATAATATTGAAAATCTCTACATGGTACTGTTAAAATGTCGACGGTGTAGGTATTCTTGAACGCGAGATATACTCGTATTTGTGTATAAAACATAATATTGAAAATCTCTACAGGGTACTGTTAAATTGTCGACGGTGTAGGTTTTTTTGAAATGTTCAAATAATCGTAATATATATCTATAGAAATGATGGCTATTATCCCTTTGTTATCGATACGACCTTTTTCTACCAGCAGCTGCTGACTGCCGTGGTCAACCGCGATCAGTGTGTCACAGTTAATTGTACACGTACTACGCGTTTGCTCCCTTCGTGTTTTTTTTCAGCGTTTATTATTTGTTTGACAGTGTTTAAAATATAAAATATAATAACATTTTTAAACATTTTTTTTCTCTCGTAATTACCTTAAACAAATCAATATGTTTAAATGCGTGCAGTGCCCGTCGGTTTTTGTACGAAAAGGCAGTTTGGTTAGACATGAAATAACTCATACCGGTATTCGTTTTCCGTGTACCGTATGTCCAGCGACATTCAACTATAAATCGTATATCAATAGACATCTGAAAAATGTTCATGGTATGTACCTATTACAAATATTAAATTTTATATTTTTTTTTTGATTTGTTTATAAATTTTTCCCCAAGGTATTGTCAACATTCCAACCCGTTTGAGGCCAATACCCGCTGCACCAATCATAGATCACCCAACACGAGCGCCTCGTGCCTCTAATCAAGGTGATGTTATCCAGATCGCGCCTCAAATATTTATTCCCGATGTCCCGGCTGGTGGATCGAATGCGATATCCGACGATGATATATTGTGCATGGAAGCAATGGATGAATTTGAGGATGACGATCTATTATGTATGAAAGCAATGGACGAATTTGAGGATAACGATCTATTGTGTATGAAAGCAATGGACGAATTTGAGGATACAGGTTAGTTTTATTTAATTTATCAGAATCAATTAGATTTTTAAAAGACCCGCTGATTTTATTTTATCCGCCGTGGATTATTTTTTTAAATACGTAACGTTAAAGTAGATTTATTAATCGAATATACAAGTAAAACAGATTTTTTAAAATACATGTCGTTAGATTTTATTTTTCAGTCACGGGTTGATTAGATTTTTAATAGATTCGTCATTAGATTTTATCAGATATTAATATTAGGTTTTATTTTTAAAGATTCATACACCGTTGCCGTTAACGGAAAGCGTGTTTCCACGGCCAACACCGTGTCGGCTGCTAGGGCGAAAAAGACTAGGTTGAATCTTGTCAAGGCCCCTGGGTTCATCGAGATTTCATCGTCCGCAAATAGGAAGATCGTGTGGTATTATGCGAAAAATGTCGATAATACAATGATTTATTCTGATTTTCTCCGCCCGCTTATGCCTGAGTTAGTCAATTTATTGAAAACCCACGTGAAAAAACATGCGATTAAATTCAATTTGAAACTCGAGGCAACATACAACCGGCCCAACGTACCAAACTCGTCGGAGAACCGGGCATTCAAAACTTCGGCGGTAGAACTTTATTCGGATAGTGACATTAGAACGATTGTAGAGAGGGCGTATATGAAGTTAATGACAGAGAAAGATGAGTACCAATCACGTGGAAGCGGATTTACATTGGAGAGCATAGACGGATTGTTGTTGGCGGTATATAAATATACACCGATGGGTGGCTCGTCGTATATTGAGTTGCCAACGTATATCGACAGGAAACGGGGTACAATAAATCCACAAAACACAGACCAGGAATGTTTTAAGTGGGCGATTCTAGCGAGGCATGTGGCATATAATTTATCTGATAAATATAAATACTGTGTGGGTGAAAATTACAAAAAACATGAAGGAAAATATAATTTTGACGGCCTCACCTTCCCGACACCGCTATCGGATATAACTAAATTCGAAAAAAACAATTCCAGCGTCTCCGTTAACGTCTATGGTATAGATAGAAAAATACAGCCACCAAAGTCCCCGAGGTATGAGGTATACCCGCTACGAGTCGTTGACGAAGAGAAACCGGACCACTTCGACCTGTTGTTGGTAAAGGACGACAAAAACTCGCATTACGTTTACATTTCGAATTTTTCACGAATTGTGCGCGCACAAAAAACTAAGCATGATGAACGCGTTGTATTTTGTAAAAGGTGTTTTACGTCATTCGATGACAGGCGGCATAAATACAAGTTGAGCGGACAGGAGGCCCTGAATCAACACAAGCTGATTTGCGGAGAACACACACCAATTTTACCAGAGATGCCAAAAGAGGGTGACTGTACTGAATTCAAGGCGTGGAATAAGACCCAGAGACACCCCATAGTAATTTATGCAGATTTTGAGACGATATTGACGAAGACTGATGAGAAGAAAGGAGCCAAGACGAGGATATTACATAGACATGAGGCGATGAGCTATAGTCTCATTGTGAAAGCGAGCGATAACGTACCGCAGGAGTTATTGGAGGAACATGACATACCAACAGAGTCAATATTATACCGAGGAAACAAGAATAAGACAGACGTGGCGAGACATTTTGTTGAAACCGTTACTGAGATGGCGATAAAAATTGAAAAATTATTGAAGACCAATAAACCTATAGTTTCCACGGATAAACAACGGCAGTCACATGATTCATGCAATTTATGTAATTTATGTAAGACTAACTTTACATTCGACAACCATAAGGTGGCAGATCACTGTCATCTCTCTGGAAAATACCGGCAAGCTATATGTAACACGTGCAATCTCAAGCTTCAAACACCAAACTTTATACCTATATTTTTTCATAACCTGTCCAACTATGACGCACATCTAATAGTTACAGAACTTGGCCATGACACTCAAACTATAAGAGTAATACCTAACAGCGAGGAGAAATTTATATCATTTACGAAATACGTCACAAACACCTTTTCAATGCGATTTATAGACACGTTCAGGTTTATGGCATCAAAACTGTTGACTTTAGCCGAAAATCTTGTGACACCAGGGCTTGAAAATTTCCGAGAAACCGCGAAACATTTTGTCGCCGGAGATATGCCGTTAGTGACTCGAAAGGGGGTGTACCCATACGAGTACACAGATAGCTGGGATCGATTGGATGAAGAACGATTGCCGAGTAAGAGGAGTTTTTATAGTTCATTAAAAGAAGAACATATAGACGAGGAAGACTTTGAGCATGCGAAGTTGGTTTGGAACCACTTTGGCTGTAGGACGCTGGGCGAATATAGCGATTTGTATCTAAAAATTGACGTGCTGCTGTTGGCTGATGTGTTCGAAAACTTTCGCGACTTATGTATGAGGACATACAACTTGGACGCAGCCCACTATTTCACCACCCCAGGCTTAAGTTTCGATGCGATGCTGAAGTTTACGGGGCAGAAACTTTCACTTTTGACGGATTATGACATGTTATTGATGTTTGAGAATGGTCAGTATATTATTTTTAAAATGTGTATATATATATATATATATAATATTAATCTTATTTATTTTGTATAGGTTTACGTGGTGGATTGGTTCAAGCGAGCAAACGATATGCGAAGGCGAATAATGCAAAGACCCCGGACTATGATGAGACGAAAGAGAAATCGTGGATAGTATATCAGGACTGTAAGTACCTATATTTTTCTAAACTTAATAATATTTTCATACTTATTAATTTTTTTTTTTTAAATTGTATAGGTAACAACTTGTATGGATGGGCAATGTCGCAGTACATGCCGTACGGTGGGTTCAACTGGGTTGAACCCACATTAAACGGACTTGATGATTTGAACGATACATCACCCATAGGGCGAGTGTATGAGGTGGATGTAACATACCCACAAAAATTACATGATAAACACAACGATCTACCATTCTTGCCGAACAGCAGTATACCTCGCGGGTCGAAGGTGAGGAAGTTGATGGCAACGTTTGAGATGAAGAAGAACTATGTTATACATTATAGAAATCTGCAGCAGGCAATTAAGAATGGGTTGAAAGTGGAAAAAGTAAATATTTGTATTTTATAAGATTTTAAACAGATTGTAATAATTTTTTTTTTTATAGGTACATAGGGTTATTCAGTTTAACCAGTCTGACTGGTTAGCCAAATATATAGAATTAAACACAGAGTTGAGGAAAAAGGCGAAGAATGAATTTGAGAAGGACTTTTTTAAACTTATGAATAACGCTGTATTTGGTATGCAACTTTATTTATTATATAATATGTATATAAAAATGTTTACTGATATTTTGTGTTTGATTTTCTAGGGAAGACTATGCAATCGAAGAGGAAGGAAATTAAGATGGAGTTGGTGTCATGTGAGATGAGGTTGCAAAAAGTAATAAACAAATGTACATTTAAACACTGCACAAATTACAACGAGAACCTTAACGCTGTAACGCTTGAGAACAAATTAATCAAATTCGATAAACCTATATTTATTGGTAAATATAATTTTTTTAAATTATATAATATACACTTTTAATTACATTTATTATATATTTATTATTTACAGGATTTGCTGTATTAGATATTAGCAAAACGTTAATGTATGATTATCATTACAATGTCATGCAGAAACATTATGGAGATAGAATTAAGCTTATGTACACTGATACAGGTAAATATATACTAAAACTACATAATATATTTATTTAATATCATTCTTTTTCCAGATTCACTAGTGTATCATGTTCAGACGGAAGATTTTTATGTGGACTTGGCGGCTAACCACAACTTGTTGGATAGGATGGATACTGCTAACCTGCCCAGTGACCATCCGTGTTATGTAGCAGAAAGAAAAAAGTCCCCGGGCTTCTTCTCCGACGAGGTGAACGCAAATATAATTACTGAATTCTGCGGGTTGAGGGCCAAGTCGTATGCCTTCAACATATATGCTGGACAAGAGGATAAGGAGAAAGATGAAAAGGACCGAGTAGGAGTAGAAAAGATTAAGGCGAAAGGTATCAGAGCTCATGTGGTTAAAAACCATATGACTCTTGAGGACCATAGGAAGTGCCTGTTTGGAGAAATTGGACAGGAGTTGTATAGAGACAATGTATCGATACGGTCATTCAATCACCAGCTTATGACAATAAGAACTAATAAGCTAACGTACAACAGCTATGATGATAAGAGGGTGGTGTTAGAGGACAAAATAAACACACTAGCCCATGGTCATTATAGTATAGAGTAAGTTATTACAATTATATATATATTTTTAAATTATTATACTGATTTTACTTTTTTAATTTTATAGGGAAGATGAACCCGAAGATGATTAGCCTGGAATAGAGACCATAACTGGAATGAAGAAGAAACCTTCTACATTGCCTAACCTGATTTTATATATTTTTATTGTTATATATTGATTATTACAAATAACTTATAAACAACTGTTTAGTTTTGAATATATATATATTGTAAATATTATATTATACTTGTACCTATATTATGTTAGCATATAAATAAAATAAAAAAAACAATTGTTAAAATATATAATATTATTATTATTATGTTTATTAAATAAAATGTACATATTATAATAACAATTTTTAAGAATTATTTATAAACCATTTCCTTATAGCAAATACTTTATAGAATGTACATTGTTTTGGATTAAATTCCATATGAAAAATACAGCAAGGTAAGGTGTCTTCATCGCATATTTGATCCAAACGTGGACATCCAAGGTCTTCGATGTTGATTAGTGCGACTTGAGGTATAAATTCTGCGAGCATCTGTTTTTTCTGTTCGCCTTTGACATAAATGCAAGTGAATTTTAATGAGTTCAATATTCTACTTAATTCTTCATATTCAACATCACCATACTCTATAGTTAGTTTATGATAGTTATGTTCCAGCCACTTGTTAGTTTTTTGACTCTTGTTGTCTTGCATAGTTTTTGAATTTTTAAAAATCCAGTGTTGAGTTGCCCACGTTG